GGGCATCAGCCACATACACCCAGGCTGACGGGTTCAAACCCAGCTCAGGCCAAATGAACAACAATGGCAACTGCAACAAAAAAAATAGCCAGGTGTTGTGGTGGGTGCCTGTAGTCGCAGCTACTTGGGACTCTGAGGCAAGAGAACTGCTTAAGCTCAAGAGTCTGAGGTTACTGTGAGCTGTGACACAACAGCACGTGGTGAGGGCAGCATAGAGAGACTGTCTCCAAAAAAAAAAAAAAAAAACTCTAGAAACCTCAATCAGAAATGATAAAGGGGAAATAACAACTGATGCCACAGAGATATAAGAGATTATCTCTGAATGCTACCAAAAACTCTATGCCCAGAAATTGGATAATATGAAGGAAATGGATCAATATTTGGAATCACACCCTCTCCCTAGACTTAGCCTGGAAGAAATAGTTCTCCTGAACAGGCCAATTTTAAGCACTGAGATCAAAGAAACAACAAAAAATCTCCCAACAAAAAAATGCCCTGGTCCGGATGGCTTCACACCAGAAATTTATCAAACCTTCAAAGAAGAGCTTATTCCCGTACTGCAGAAATTATTCCAAAAAATTGAGGAGGAAGGAATCTTCCCCAACACGATCTATGAAGCAAACATCACCCTGATACCAAAACCAGGAAAAGACCCAACTAAAAAAGAGAACTTCAGACCAATTTCACTAATGAATATAGATGCAAAAATTCTCAACAAAATCCTTGCCAATAGACTACAGCTTCTCATCAAAAAAGTCATACATCATGTTCAAGTAGGTTTCGTTTCTAGGGATGCAAGGCTGCTTTAACATACACAAGTCCATAAACATAATTCACCATATCAACAGAAGCAAAAACAAAGACAATGTGATCCTCTCAATAGATGCAGAAAAAGTGTACAATAAAATCCAGTATGCTGGCTCAGCGCCTGTGGCTCAGGTGGCTGGGGCACCAGCCACATACACTAGGGTGATGGGTTTGAATCCAGCCTGGGCCCACCAAAAACAACAATAATGGCTGCCACCAAAAAATGGCCAGGGCGTTGTGGCGGGCGCCTGTGGTCCTAGCTGCTTAGGAGGCTGAGGCGGGAGACTCACTTGAGCCCAGGGGTTGGAGGTTGCTGTGAGCTGTGATGCCATGGCACTCCACCCAGGGGGACAGCTTGAGGCTCTGTCTCAAAAAAAAAAAAATCCAGTATCCTTTTCTAATTAGAACATTGATGAATATAGACATTGGTGGCACATTTCTTAAACTAATTGAAGTCATCTACAACAAACCCACAGCTAATATTTTACTGAATGGAGTAAACTGAAAGCTTTTTCTCTTAGAACTGGAACCAGACAAGGTTGTCCTCTACTGCCACTACTATTCAACATAGTGCTGGAAGTTCTAGCCAATACAATCAAGCAAGAGAAGGAAATAGAGGGCACCCAAATGGGAACAGAAGAGGTCAAACTCTTCCTCTTTGCTGACGATATGATCTTATACTTAGAGAACATCAAAGACTCAACCCCAAGACGCCTGGAAGTGATCAAAAAATATAGTAATGTCTCAGGATATGAAATCAATGTCCACAAGTCAGTAGCCTTGGTATACGCCAAGAACAGCCAAGGTGAGAAACTAATTAAGGACACAATCCCCTTCACAGTAGCTTCAAAGAAAATCAAATACCTATGAATATACCTAACAAAAGAGGTATAGGAAGGATCTCTATAAAGAAAATTATAAAACCATAAGAAAAGAAATGGCAGAAGATATTAATAAATGGAAGAACATACCATGCTCATGGCTGGGAAGAATCAACATTAATAAAATGTCTAGGCTTGGCACCTGTGGCTCAGGTGGCTAAGGCACCAGCCACATACACCCAAGGTGGCAGATTCGAATCCAGCCCGGGCCCACCAAACAACAATGACAGCTGCAACCAAAAAATAGCCAGGCGTTGTGGTGGGTGCCTGTGGTCCCACCTACTTGGGAGGCAGAAGCAGGAGACTCGCTTGAGCCCAGGAGTTGGAGGTTGCTGTGAGCTGTGATATCACGGCACTCCACCCAGGGGAATAGTTTGAGGCTCTGTCTCAAAAAATAATAATAATAAAAAATAAATAAAATGTCTATACTTCAGATCTGTGCCTGTATTTCAGTGGCTGGGGTGCCAGCCACATACACCAAAGATGGCAGGTTCAATCCCAGCCTAGGTCTGCTAAACGACAATTACAATTACAAAAGAAAAAATAGCCGGGCATTGTGGTGGGTGCCTGTAGTCCCAGCTACTTGGGAGGCTGAGGCAAGAGAATCTCTTAAGCCCAAGAGTTTGAGGTTGCTGTGAGCTGTGATGTCATGGCACTCTACCCAGGGTGACATAGTGAGACTCTGTCTCAAAAAATAATAATAATAAAATAAAATGTCTATACTTCCTAAAGCAATATTCAATGCAATCCCCATTAAAATACCAACATCATACTTTCAAGACTTGGAAAAAAATAATTCTTTGTTTTGTATGGAACCAGAAAAAAACTCATATAGCTAAGGCAATTCTTATTAATAAAAACAAAGCCAGGGGCATCAGCCTACCAGACTTTAGGCTATTGTGATTAAAACAGCATGGTATTGGCACAGATAGAGACATAGACATTTGGATCCAAATAGAAAACCAGGAGATGAAACTAACATCTTACAGCCACCTAATCTTCGATAAACCAAACAAGAACATGCACTGGGGGAAAGAATCTCTATTCAATAAATGGTCCGGGGAGAACTGGATATCCACATGTAAAAGACTGAAACTGGACCTGCACCTTTCTCCACTCTCTGAAATTGATTCAAAATTAATAAAAGACCTAAATTTAAGGCATGAAATGATAAAAATCCTCAAAGAAAGGATGGGAAAAACACTTGAAGATTTCAGCCTAGGGAACTATTTTATGAAGAAGACTTCTGTGGCAATTGCAACAAGAACAAAAATAAACAAATGGGACTTAATTAAACTGAAAAGCTTCTGTACAGCTAAGGAGATGACAACCAAAGCAAATAGACAATCTACACAATAGGAAAGGATATTTGCATATTTTGAATCAGACAAAAGCTTGATAACCAGGACCTAGAGAGAACTCAAATTAATCAACATAAAAAGAGCCAACAATCCCTTTAGATTACTGGGCAAGAGAGATGAGTAGAAGCTTGTCTAAAGAAAACAGATGGGCTCGGCGCCTATAGCTCAACCGGCTAAGGCGCCAGCCACGTACACCTAAGGTGGCCGGTTCGAATCCCCAGCCCGGGCCACCAAACAACAATGACGGCTGCAACCAAAAAATAGCCGGGCGTTGTGGCGGGCGCCTGTGGTCCCAGCTACTTGGGAGGCGGAGGCAGGAGACTCGCTTGAGCCCAGGAGTTGGAGGTTGCTGTGAGCTGTAATGCCACGGCACTCTGCCCAGGGGGCCGGTTTGGGGTTTTTTTTCAAAAAAAAAAAAAAAAAAAGAAAACAGATGAATGGCTAACAAACATATGAAAAAATGCTCATCATCCCTAATTATTAGAGAAATGCAAATCAAAACCACTCTGAGATATCATCTAACCCCAGTAAGAATGGCCCACATCACAAAATCTCAAAACTGCAGAAGCTGGCATGGATATGGAGAGAAGGGAACACTTTCACATTGCTGGTGGGACTTTAAATTAATACAACCTTTTTGGAAGGAAGTATGGATAATCCTCAAAGAACTTAAACTAGATTTGGGATTGCATTTGATCCTGCAATCCCATTATAGGGCATCTACCCAGAAGAAAAAAATGCTTTTACCATAAGGACACTTGCACAGGACTGTTTATCACAGCTCAATTTACAATTGCTAAAATGTGGAAACAGCCTAAGTGCCCACCAACCCAGGAATGGATTAACAAGCCGTGGTATATGTATACAATGGAATACTACTCAGCCATTAAAAAGAGATGGGGACTTTACATCTTTTGTATTAACCTGGCTGGATGTAGAACACATTATTCATAGGAAAGCATCACATGAATGGATAAGCAAGAATCCTATGTACTCAATTCTGATATGAGTACAATTAATGATCTAGTACACCGTGGGGGTGGGGTGGGAAAGGGGAGAACAGAGAGAGGGAAGGTGGGAGGGGGTGGGGGTGTCATGGTGTGTGACACAACTTTGGAGGCGGGACACAATTATAAGAGGGAATTTACCTAACAAATGGAATCAAGGTAACCTGGTTCTTTGTACCCTCGATGAATCCCCAACAGTAAAATAAATAAAATAAAATTGCTTAAGAAAAAAAGAAATAAATAAAAATAAAATATGTATGGAGTCTCAAAAGGGGGGAATGAGAGAGGATACCCAGGAAGGGTGAGGTCTTGGAGAACAGAGGTCTTCTCCAGGAGACCCCAAGGATACACCTACAAGATCCTCTCCATGGTGATGCAGCTCTTAGGAATTTGTAGACTTAACTTCCCGAGACTGGAAATTTTCCACTTCTGTGAAATCTTGTAGTTCTGTCGGGGCTGGAATGGCTTCTCCAGCTTGATTCAAACTGACCAATGAGAAAGTTACCCGTGGGTTGGAATTTTGTGACAGGAAAAAGGGAAAGACCAAGCCAGTCAGGGAGTGCGGCCATTTTGAATTCTTCTATGTCGTTTGCTCCACCAGCTGAAATAAAGCCCTTCCTCTTATAAACAGGGTGTTTGGGTACTCTTTCTCTCCATTGGGCCTCATCTTCCTGCAACATAGGGACTTTACCATAAATAAGTCACACACAAAAGGCCATAGATCACCTCCTGACCTGGGAAGGCCAATCTTTAGATGGTCATTTGATTCTCAAGGGATTTGAAGGAAAATCCAAGGCAATAATGGGACCCTTTTACAGAGGAGAGAAGTAAGGAGGGGCAGCGGAGAGTGGGGATGAGGGAGGACTTTGGTAGTGAAAGACTGCTATCTACAACGTGGCCGAGCTCAAAAATATTGTTTGCAGTGAAAGACCAGACACAAAAAATCACAGATGATATGATTCTGTTTATAGCAAATAGCCAGAGTAGGTACATCCATGAAGACAGAGAGCAGATTGATGTTTGCCAGGGGCTGGGAAGAATGGGGAATGGGGAATAACTGCATAATAGTTCCAGAATTTGGGGGGGGGTGATAAAAATGTGTGGAACTAGGTGGTCATGGTTAGACAACATTGTGAATGAATCATTTGCCACTAAACTCATGCTATAAAGCATTAATTTTATGTTATGTGAATTTCATCTTAATTTAAAAATATGAAAAAAGAAGGAGCTGTGAAGAAGAGTTTGGTTCTAGAGCCAGGGTGTGAATCTTGCTCCTGCATTCACTGGTGATGTGACCTCAAATGACACGGCCTTGCAACAGGTATCTCACAGCCAGTTGTGGTGGAAGTTGGGGGCCACAGTCTTCAGAGGTGGAGACACTTAGTGATCCTGGAATCTTTTGGCCCCTTTCTCTCGATCCCTTTAACGGGGAACGAAGCGGATCTGATACGCTGGGGCTACTTTCCCCACACCACTCTGCTGGGGAGTAAGGTCAATGTCCTCTGGAGCCATGGAGCTGGCCAAGGAGAAGTTCTGGAGAATGGTAGTGAAGAAGAGGAACAATTCGGTCCTGGCAATGCCTTCACCAAGACAAATGCGCTTCCCTGTGGCACAAAAGGAAGATCATCACTATGGACACAGGTGCACATTCTTTGCCCTCCCCAAACACTTGTGTTCATGGAAACAAATTTGCATGAGAGATTGGTCTTTAACGTGGAATTCAGGATGAACTTTCAGGTAATTCCCAAACCCTCCAAAACTGGGTGAAAATCTTTGGGTAGATATGCTGTGCTCATTTCTCTAGGAGAGAGTTTGTAGCATCTGTTAGATTTTCAAAAGGTGCAGCAACCCCACCAGTTTAAGGACCCAGTGTGGCTGACGGTATGGGTAGATGTACCTCTGCATATGTAGATGAGAGCAGATTTCTGACAGTGTGTTTACTGCTCTTCATTTCTCATATGGAGAGCACGGTGTCTACCTAAGAGGGCTCTTGTGAGATTAAAGAACATATCTGTAAACCTTAGAATAGTACCCAACTTGAATTAAGAATCCTAAATGTCAGCTGGGCATGGTGGCTTACGCATGTAATCCTAGCACTCTGGCGGGCCTAGGCAGGTGGATTGCTTGAGCTCAATAGTAGACCTGAGTTGAGCAAGAGCAAGACCCTGTCTCTACAAAAAATAGAAAAAACTAGCCATGCATTGTAGGGGGCACCTATCGTCCCAGCTACTCGGGAGGCTGAGCAAGAGGAACTCTTAAGCCCCAGAGTTTGAAGTTGTTGTGAGCTATGATGCTACAGCACTCTACTCTGGGTGACAGAGTAAAACTCTGTCTCAGGCAAAAAAAAAAAAAAAAAAAGAATCCTAGACATGGGCCAGGCACAGTGGCTCACGCCTGTAATCATAGCGTTCTGGGAGGCTGAAATGGGTGGATTGCTTAACCTCAGGAGTTTGAGACCATCTTGAGCAAGAGACCCTGTCTCTACTAAAAATGGAAAACTTTGGCTGGGCATGTGGCTGGTGCTTGTAGTCCAAGCTACTTGGGAGGCTGAGGCAAGGAGTGTGAGGTTGCTGTGAGCTATGATACCACAGCACTCTAGCAAAGGTGACAGAGTAAGATTCTATCTCAAAAAGAAAGAAGAATCCTAGATGGGTAGTTCCTATCTTGTGTTTGTTTCCAGGAGTGCGTGTAGGGGTGTGTTTCTGGTATTTTGTGTGTGTGTGTCTATCTCTGGGTGGTCTTCTAGCCTCAGCCTGAGATCAACAGGCTTTAAAACTTCCTGAAAATATATATGAATTATACACAAAATTGTGAATGGAATGGATGCCCATGGGGGCGGGCATCAATTCTCAGAAGTGTATGCTGCCTCCAAAAGAATATACACCACAGGCTTGGAGAGAAATGAGAACAAAAGGGAAGCGGGGGGCTGGAAAAGCTGAGATGGACACAGAAGGGCCTCTCCGTTTACTTCGGTGCTTCTTCTTAAGGCCATGCCAAGGATGGGTTTCCAGGCATTCCCTAGGACTTCCAGATTGTTGGACAGTGGTGCCTATGTGGAAGCATCTGGGGAGGAGTCCACATCCTTTTGGAACATCCAGAAGGTAGGAGACATGAGCTTAAAAACACTCAGGGCAGATCTCTGGGCTGGCACTTCTATAAGTAGTTCTGTGACCTGGCTTTTTCCAGAACAGCCCGATGCCTGTTATGTCCCTCCCAACACACTTCCCATCCCTGGGGCTGGCTGTTTGCACACTCTTTGGGATCTCACTGGCTCCAACCCCCTTTTTGCTCACTTTATATTTCCTTCTGCTTCTAGCGGACTCTGCCACTGTCTTTTTCTCTGTCTATATTTGCCAGCCACTGTTTCTCTGTCTTTGTTTTCCTTTCCTCCTCTTTTTTTGGGCTTTCTTCCTTTTTGTTTAGCTCCCTGTCTCTGTCTGTCTGAATTTTCTATTCTATTTCTCTTGCTCTTGTTTTTCATCTCCCTCTAAAATACCTTCTCTCCTTCATTCTGTCTTTTCCTCTCTCCTTACGTCACTTTTTTCTCCTTCTTGTTTTCCTCTCTCTCCTTTCTTCTTTCCCTCTTTTCTTCTCTCCCCTTTCTTTGTCCTCAGCTCCCTCTGCCCCTCATTCCTCCTCCTCATTCTCCATATCCATCTCTCTGCCTCCCTCCTCCTCTCCCTCTGTCTCTCACGTTCATGCTCGGTCTCTTTTCAGCCACTGTCTCCCTGTCTCTGTGTGTCTCTCTGCCCTCTCTCTGTTTCTCACTCTCATCGTCTCTCTGCAACATGCCCATCTGTCTCTGTCCTTATTTCTCCACATCTCTGCCTTTCTTAAAATGTAGGATGGGTCTAGCAAATGAAATCATTAACCCTTATCCCACCACCCCGTGTGTTCCCAACTCTTGCTAAAGTTAATTGAGAAAGACGCTCAGTGCGACAGAGACAGAGGCTGGGCCAGAGCCCTGGGTTGCTGAAGTTGCTGATGAGACTGAAGACTAAGGACTTGTTCCTGGGACTTTCTTGCTCCCCAAAGATGAGAAACCTGGATATTGGGATTTTACAGGGATGGAGCTTGTTAAATTAAATTAAGTTGGGCCTAAAACTGCCACTATACACAATAAACTGTAACCTACCTTAATATGTAAACAAACTACAATCTAACATGAAAGTATATTCTTGAAATAAGTAACTGAGTCTTGGCCAATCATAACAGCCAAGCTTCAGCCAATCACAGGCTGAAAACTGCTCAGATGGCCCAAATATGGCAAACTCTGAGCTGTCATCAGTTAGGCTGTGTCTGTGGGTCACTTTCTTTCTCTGTGGATAAATACTGCTTGTCTACAAGGCTGGGTATATCTCTCTGAACTTTTCCTGGTTCAGAATGCTGCCCAGTTTATGAATCGTTTCTTTGCTCAAACAAACCGGTAAATTTAATTTGCCTAAAGTTGTTCTCTTAAAAAGCTAAAGAGTGAAGAACGGGAACTGGGACAAGTTGGAGCATGTCACTACCTTGCCCACCTCCTGAGAGCTACAGTGTAAGTCCAGACTCCTTCCCAGCCATCAGAGCCCTGCCCGGCTGAGCTCTTCAACTTGTTCCCATGTGTGATTGGCAGTCCAAGCTCTTCTAGTTTCTCAAATGTGCCGTTACGTTTCTACCTTCAGGCTTGTTTGCGCTGCCTGAACACTCTTTCCAGTGGCTGATTGGTATTCAGCTATGAATGTCTCAACTTAGAATCCAGCTCCTCAGCTATGGGTGGTGGCTCATGCCTGTAATCCTGATGAGATCAAAGTGGGTGGATTGATGGAGCTCAGGAAAATAAGACCTGAGCAAGAGCAACACCCCTCAATTCTACTAAAAATAGAAAACAAAAACTAACCAGTGGGTAGGGTGCCAGCCCCATATACCAAAAACTGGCACCTATAGTCCCAGATACTCAGAAGGCAGAGGCAGGAAGATCACTTGAGCCCACAAGTTTCAGGTTGCTGTGAGCTATGATGCCACAGGACTCTAGCCGGGGCAACAGAGTGAGACTTTTATCTCAAAAAACAAAACAAAACAAAAAACACAGAAGCCAGCTGCTCAGACAAGCTTCTCCTCACGGACTCCCCCCCCCCACCAAGATTAGTTAGTGTTTTCTATTTTGTGCTCCCCAAGCCCTTTTGGATTATGATTAATTATACTATTAATTGCCCTGTGCACATTTACTTTGTGCCATCCAGGTCTATACATGTTTAGTGCATTAATTCATAGACTCACATTGTTATTTTGTCACTTTTTTATGAATGCCCATCTTCTCTCCTGGACACTACACCTCCTGGGGCAGGAACGAGGTCTCTGTGTGATTTGTCTGAGCATTATCTTCAGTCCCTAATGGAGCACTAGGCTCCGAAAAGTGCCCAACAGATTTTGTCTTTTATTGAAGAAAAGTAATTGACTAATGTTTGGAGAGGTTCAAATACTCGCCCAAGGTCCTGCTTGCCAAGATGTGCCTTTGGGATGTAATCTCCTTTCTCAACGCCCCTCATAGGCAATAGTGAAGATGGAATAGGATCGTGTAAGTGAACAAATTAGAATATACTAAGTGTGGGCAGTGCCTGTGGCTCAGTGAGAGGGCACCGGCCTCATATACTGAGAGTGGCGGGTTCAAACCCAGCCCCAGCCAAACTGTAACAAAAAGTAGCTGGGTGTTGTGGTGGGTGCCTGTAGTCCCAGCTACTTGGGAGGCTGAGGCAAGAGAATTGCATAAGCCCAAGAACTGGAAGTTGCTGTGAACTGTGATGCCACAGCACTCTACCGAGGGTGACAAAATGAGACTCTGTCTCAAAAAAAAAAAAAAAGAATATACTAAGTGCTCAGTAAACAAGGACTTATCGTTTCAAGGAGGGGATGGAATCTGTACTCTGGTGTCTGGGAAGGGGATCTCGGGTTCAACTTACCTAAGGAAAAGGGGATAAAAGCTTCATTCTTCTTTAGCGCCCCATTGGCATCCAGAAAGTGATCAGGGTTGAAGGCGTCTGGTTTTTCAAAGTGACGTGGGTCATGGAGAGCAGAGCTCAGGATGGGAAACACTTCTGTGTTCTGAGGGAGGGTCACAAGATCATTCCTGATTGATCCCCATTCCTGAATTGCCTTTTTTTTAAAGGTACATTTTAAAGAGAAAAAATAGGCCGGGTGCAGTGGCTCATGCCTATAATTCTAGCATTCTGGGAGGCTGAGGAGGGTCGATTGCTTGAGCTCAGGAGTTTGAAATGAGCCTGAGCAAGATCAACATCCTGTCTCTAGTAAAATCAGAATAAAAAAAAATAAGGCAAGAGGGTCTCTTTAGCCTAAGAGTTTGAGGTTACTATGAGCTATGATATTGTGTCACTCTACTCAGGGCGACAGAGTAAGACTCTGTCTCAACAACAACAACAACAAAAAAAGTATGAGCAGAGCCTGTGGCTCAGTGGGTAGGGTGCTGGCCCCATATACCGAGGGTGGGGGGTTCGAACCCAGCCCCAGCCAAACTGCAATAAAAAAATAGCAAGGTGTTGTGGCACGCACCTGTGGTCTCAGCTACTCAGGAAGCTGAGGCAAGAGAGTCGCCTAAGCCCAGGAGTTGAAGGATGCGGTGAGCTGTGACACCACAGCACTCTACCAAGGGCAATACAGTGAGACTCTGCCTCTTAAAAAAAAAGTAAATTAAAAAGGAAAAATATATTTCTTATGGATTACATCAGGAGCTGGGGAGTTTTTCTGTTTTGTTTTGTTGAGACGGAGTCTCAGTTTGTTGCTCTCGGTAGAGTGCCATGGCATCATAGCTCACAGTAACCTCAAACTCTTGGGCTCAAGCAATTCTCTTGCCTCAGCCACCCATGTAGCTGGGACTATAGACACCCACCACAATGCCCACCTATTTTTTTGTATTAGTTGTCATTGTTTTTAGCAGGCCAAGGGCCGGGTTCGAACTGGTCAGCCCTGGTGTATGTGGCCAGTGCCCAAACCACTGAGCCACAGCCACCAAGTATTGTGAGGATATTTTCTTTCACAGTGTTTAATGTGAGCACTGCCAGAGTTAGTTTTTTATTATTTGTTTTTTATTGTTGTTCAATATGAGATTCAGGATCATATTTGTTTAAAGGATTTTACATATAGGTTGGGGGTGGTGGCTCACGCCTATAATTCTAACACTCTGGGAGCTCAAGGTGGGTGGATTGCCTGAGCTCGGGAGTTTGAGACAAGCTTGAGCAAGAATGAGACCCCAACTCTACTAAAAATAGAAAAACCAGCAGGGTGTTGTGGTGGGCGCCTGTAACTCCAGCTACTTGGGAGGCTGAGGCAAGAGAGTTGCTCAAGCCCAAGAGTTTGAGGTTGCTGTGATTTTGATGCCACAGCACTCTCCCAGGGCAATGGAGTAAGACTCTTTCTCAAAAAATAAATAAATCCACAGACAGATGTATGTATATTTATTATGATTATTATTATAAGGCCTACAAAATAATTTTCAGAGAATTAAAGGTAAAAGTTTGAGATTCTGGGAGTTTTAAGTATCAAAACTTTATTCCTTATATGACTTACCATAAATATACC